GGTCCCATCTTATACCCATTCGGGATCACCCGCTTTCATCCTCGTTCTTTATTTGCGTTTTTATGGACCTCGATTTCGTCCCGGTCCATAAAAAGACACAAAAAGAGGAATTCGGTCAATATCCAGCCATCTTGACAGAAAAAGCTGGGTCGATAACGCATAAGTATTCAATTCATCATAAGCTCCCACTTTTTTATTTACATTAGTACACGAAGTTAGTCTTATTTCTGTTATAATTTCAGATAGAGAGCCACAAGTTTATTACCTATTAGTGCCATCCTTTTCTGAAAAATGGTATAATTATTAATCAATATGATTCACGTAAATCGTTGATACTTATTGATACTTAAGGCTGGAGCTTCTCTAGACATGGATAAAACATGAACTAATGGGTAACATCACCATCAACCAACATCGCCGATGAAAAGGACGTGTGTTTGCAAATATAAAATATGAACTTTAAAAATTCATGAAACAACCAGCCTACTGTGTGATGGATGTCCTCCCCTGGGGTGGGATGGGTGGGTGTTGTCTTGCGATTATATGAGCCTCTGGCTCGGGCAATATGGGCAACCATGCCCAACGCAAAGACTTGATTACAGGAACTTGTCTTTACAGGAACCCTCTCCGGGTTAAATCTGTATATCTGTGTATATTGACTCCCTAGCTCGTCCATCGGGACTTGGCGGCGAGGAACATTTTGGTTGGAGAAGGTCTTTGCTGTAAAATCACTGACTTTGGGATGACAAGACACGTAGGTGAAGCTCAAATTTATGTCAGGAAGTCGAAGGTAAGTAAGACTAAAGGAACGATAAACTTAATTCAAAACTGCTTCCAGCGAGAAGTGCTGAGAATTTGTGCGTTACTTCATAGGGAGTTGAACCACTACGGTGGATGGCTGTTGAATCCTTGGAAAGACAAGTTTTTTCCGCAAAAAGTGACGTGTAAGTCGAAAAGAGAAGTTTAATCAGGAGAGTAGTTAACAGTCTCTTGGTTTCATTATCTCATTCATTATGCGGTAGCTTTTCTAAAAATATATTGTACAGTACATTTTTTAAATACGTTGTGATAATGAACTATTTCACAATTAAGAAATTAGATTTGGTTTTCCCTTTGTTTGTTTGAGCTTTACAGCTTCCTGATAACCTTTAATAGCAAAAAATTGTCCTTGAATTTAAATATTTGCGATGGTGAAAGTTTACAAAAGCTCTTCGCTAATTGGAAAGAAGATGCGCTTTTCTGAAAATGATACTTGTTAGCAATAATTTTTTTCAAAAGAACTCCCTTGGTGACCATCAGGATAAATATTCGCTGTTTTCCAAATGCATTAGATAAATCTCGTAAATGTACTTTCAGGTCTCTCTTTTGTTTTTAGGTGGAGTTATGGCATTGTCCTGTATGAGATATTTACACTTGGTAAGAGGACCATTTAAACGTTTGTGGGAGACAGGAACTGTTTTGGATACCAATTTTACTGAGGCGAGTTTGTCAGTGCGACGTACCCTGACCTGGGGAGAAAAACAATATTGGCCTCAGGCCCTTCTCCAATTTTTGAACAGGAGAGTATCCAGAGATGATAATATAACTTCTAAGCTAAAATGTTAAGTCTTGATTATGAGGTGTTGTCATAGAGACCTTCATTAAAGAAAATATGATCGTTCTGGATTTTCCCAGAAAGAGGGGAGTTATTATAAGGAGTCAATCTGGAGATATTTCGATTTTTCCAGAAGTGAGCCACTGTCACCCTGTCACCACCGACAGTGCCTTTCACTTATCGATCTGAGGAGCGTAAAGCGCAATACCATGCCTTGATAAATTTGACAGCTAATCGAGCCGAGAAAATTTGGTCCGTGTGCAAATTTATCTAGAGCTTTCCGACAGAAAAAAAAAATTATTTCGACCAAAATTTTCTGATTCGATTTAAAGCTTACCAAACGGGATGAAAATTTTTTATTACGTACAGGAGTTTCAATTAAAGCTAGTCATCGGCTGTTTACAGTTTCCCATAAGCCCTTTCACTGGCGGTTGTCTTGTGTTTGGGTTTCGCCTTTCGGTCCCGTTTTCGGGCACAACCGTTGGACCGTCAGCAGCTACTTATGGAAAAAAACTATTTAAACCCCTGACATGATTTTAACTTTGGTTAAATTTAATACTTTCTGTTGATTGAAATAGCGTTCTAAACCTGAGAGAAGCGAAAATAAAAGTAACATTAGTTTGCAGACCCCAGAGGAAGCCCTAGCTTTGCACGTTTATCATCTTTCTAGGAGAAGAACCATACGCAGGAATGAAAGGAGCAGACGTTTTAAAGTACGTGAAAGATGGTCGCAGATTAAAAAGAACGTCACGTGTGAGCCAAGAATGGTACGTAGATCCGAATTTCATCTTTACACACACACTCATCAATAGGCCTCAGCTAAGGTTTGCATTTAAAAATGTGCTTCTAATCCTTCCCAAGAATATAAATTCATTGCACTGTAAGTATTGTTGTCGAAGGTCCCACCAACAAGGAGAATTAGGTTTTTTTTCATACCTGAGACTCCAGTTGTTGGAGCTCATGTTCAAATACTTTATCATTGTTGGGCTGAACAATATCTTCGTTAGAGCATTTTTTTTACTTAGCGTCTCGTTATTTTGATAGATGGTTGAGGAAGACTGACCCTTAAATATGCGGTAGTCTTGAACTCAGAGACGAACGTAATCCATAGCTGCGTCAATTTTGCTTACTTTGGATTGGCTCAGAAAAACTCTGGCTACATGTTTGACTAATCAGGAGCAAAACCAAATCAATTGAAATCTTATAATTTTGGAGTTGAGATCTTTTACGTCTGTATGATTTAGCATAGGACCTATCTTTTCTCAAATCAGAAATTCCCCAGCTTTTAGCCGTATAAGGTTGTAGTTACTGAGATTCTGGGCTAAGCTCAAGCAAGCCGACCACTAAAGTAGAACGAGGGGATAGTACTTAATTTATTTGGATTCTATCTTGAAAATAACCGTAAGATCAATTGATTCCCACAGATATGATATGATGCTCCAGTGCTGGGACCAAGCGCCATCCAGGCGACCAACATTCGAGTCCATTGCAACGCGGATGAAAACTTATTTTCATCACTGATGCACTGAGAGTAGGAATTCTTTCCAAATCAAAAGAAAAGCACAGCACAGTGTTCATCAAGAAAGTTTTAGCGATCGATGAGCTAGAAAATTGCAAAATATGTACTTATTAACCGAGATAAATGAGAAGATTGTACTCTAAAAAAAATTCCCTTTGATTTTTTGAGACTCGCAATTCATCGAAATTTGCAACCTTAATTTCATTCTTTTTTCCCGTCTAAGGTTTAGCAACAAAGCCATGCGAGTTCAGGGCCGGACGGCCTTTTCCGCGTCGGTTGACGTCAACCCGTTCGGCCCTTCATACGTCAGCTTCACTATGGTTTTCTAAGAGATTGCGTGCACGGGGCCGTACGGGTCATATGATGATGATAAATATTACTCAAAACTAAATTAAAACACATAAATTTGGAATTGCAGGATGAAATTGAGATCGGGAAAGGGGTAGTTCCACATTAAAGCATATGCATCTCCTTCGGTTCTTGTTCTCAAGTTCCTTATAACAATTAAAGGTTGAGTGGGATTTTATGCTCAAAAATAACCGAGAGTGTTGTGTCTGGTATAGCTTGGTTTCCTTCTCGGTCAAGAGTACTTTAGTTTGACCTCACTTTTCGCTTCTTCTCGGAAACAGAAAATGATTTGTCGTAAAGTTTCTCACCTCTTCAGTCCACGAGCCATTCTTAATGTTATAACCGAAAACGAAGGGGAGAGTAAGTGAGTTTCAATAAGTTTACCGTGGATTAAGAAACGGCCGAGAAGTTTGTTGAGAGTGCAACCTCACGCCATACTAAAAACATGCGGGCTGAAGACGCAAACAGATCCTGTTTATAAAGGACACAAAGCTCATTCTCGGAATTTCAACGGGTTATTACCTTCACGCACCGATAGAAGTACTTTCCCTTTTTCCCAGAATAAAAAATGCCAGACTGTAAACATAGCCAAAAATAGGCCAAGAGTAACGCATTTGAATAAGATGTAGCGTCCCATATACTCGACATGTATTCCACGGGATTATTCACAACGTGGCCGGCCAAAATGAAGTTTCTTTTATGTAATCTGGTTTGTACTTTAACACTGATTCAAGGTTAGTTGACTGTTTAATTCTCAAAACTTGAGAAATGGAAACTTTTCGTAGCAAACAAGTCAAGAGTTTTGATATAACACTCTCAGGCTGGTAGGTTTACAAATTTTCATGTTAGTCGGACGTCGAAATTGTGTTGTAAGAGAAATTATTACCTGATGACGTAAATTATTCTTAGAGTGTATAGAAATTATAATTAAAACTGAAGGTTTCTTTTCCGCTAAGTATCCTGCTGCCCCTCTTTCAGGTGAATGCTTTTTCCCCTCTTTTTCTCCCTTTTCTTTTAATCAGCCTACTTATTTTTTGCATGATTACAGCCTTAAAAGGCCTACTCGAGGTAACACAGGAAGCTCGTTGTAAATGGCTAGCTCTAAACCATCTGAACTTTTCAAAAAATTCTCCCCTCCCTAAGTGTCAGTTACTCTGTTTTGCTGTTTATTTACCTTAGCAATCATCTGTAGCTATAAATAACACCTGAATAAACTGAGATCGCAACCCTGTTTTGGTAAATCATTAAACTAATTCCATAACTACTTATGAAATAATGCAATCTTTTTGCTCCCAGAGCTGCAGCATGCACTAAATTATCTTGAGAGAGATTTAAAACAAAGAAGACCAACAAAATGGCTTGTAGCCAATGATGTATTTTCTGTACCCGCTTCAGCTGGAGAGCTGGAGCCGTGAATAAGTGGAGGGGAGGAGAGGAAGGGAGGAACCCTTTGAATGGCGTTTAAACACTTTAAAAATTGAGTTATCAAATGGAGCATTTAGCAAAATCGTGAGCATAATTTTGGACGTTATGCTATGTTTTCAGACCAGAGGTGCGCTCAAAAGGATAGTGCTCGAATTTTCGAGCATGATCTGGCTTGACAGTGAGAGGACTAGAGCCGTTAAAAGCACTTCTTTTGATTGGCCAAGTATTGTTATGGTGCCTTAAATCGGATCGAATGTCACCATGATGATCGCTATCGAAACACATTGCCTATGACGATGACACGACCAAGTTAGGATCACTTATTGATATCAAAGCTAGGATCATCAGGTTGATGTCCTAATGCACATTTGCACCACGTGCTCTATTAAGGTGTCTTCTCTAAGAATATATTTTAATCCTAAATCTGAAGTGTCGCAAAACTTATAGAAGGTGCGTCTTTACTCAGGGCAAACGCTTGAATAAGCTAAGGAGAGGTATGGATTTACTATAAGAACAAGTTTGTGGCCTCGTTTTCTTCACGCTTGCTTTTTTTTGCTTCCTGTTTTTTTTCTGTCTCTTTTGGAGGCTCGCTCATTGGTCAGTTAGCTGTGCTACTCTTATGATTGGCTGTTGATAAAAACAACGTTAATTATAAAAGAAATCAGCCATGTCAAATCCCTATGCCCTTTCCTTTTTAAGGAATCTATCGAACGAGTTAGAGTGACTGTCATGATCATGAAAATAGATTGATCAAGGCTATTATTAGATCTCACTTTTGTTAGGGGGCTGAGCTAGTTTGGAAAGTTCCCGCATAGGTTTTCTTTGGAACCCTCGCGTGACATAGACAAAGCCTGATTCAAACGAGCTGTGTTGACGACATCGTTCAAAAATATGAAGACATCATCGGTCCTTTCAGTTTGTTCTCTTGCGTTTCTATTAACCTCAGGTGAGTCAAACTACAAAATCTTTCAGCTCTTCGAATTCTGGGTTTTGGGATATTGTTGCTGTAAGGCATTAGAACTTTCGATGCTAACGTGAGACCAAACCGAAAGGCGGAATATCCATCTCAGAAATTATGGCGTAGTGCCCAATTGTTTATTATCGATAAACTACTTAAGATGTTTGGTTTCTAGTAATTAATTGTGGTGCTGAACTGTCGATTATTTAATGATAATCAAGAAACACTGAGTATAGATGCATTTGGTAGAGCTGTGTGAAGCGAAAGAACTGGATGCGGAAACTGAAACTGGTTTGCATAATAACAACAAACGAAGCGAATCGGCTGAAGGCACGGCGTCATTGTGGACTAATAGCTTGCGAGGGCAGATGCCTTTGACGAGCCTTCAGCACAAGGCCTAAATGCTGAAATCTGCGCAGCTATAAAAAAATAATTGCATCGACATTCAAACAAACTGTCTTAGAAAACCCATACACTGGGTTTTATTCACATAAATATCTTCTGTAGAGATGGGTTCCGCGTAGTCTAATGTGGTAAACAACGCGGTGTTATCGAGATTAACATGCCCAACAGGCTAGAAAGGTCACATTCTCAGAAAAGTGTATTGTAATTTACTGCTCCATATTTTGAGACTAAACAGATCGGCTGACAACTAGAATAAGGGCACTTGATAGCTCCAAAATGAGCGACGTCGCTCAAATCTCACGGAGGTTTCATAATGTAATCATAACACGAACCCCCTTCCCAGCACTTGTAAAATTTGTCCTTAAACTGACCCCTATAAGCGATAAATCCTATAAGAGGCAATAGTTTGCACTCAATCATGGAAGAATGCTCATATCGCCAACCACTCCGGCTGTCGTAGTTGGTTCGTAATGCACTTGGTTTGCGGGTAGTTTACGTTTTCCTTTCAGGTGACCGTTTCAGAGGCTTATTCAATATTTCGCACACGCTGCAGGCTATAACTTACCTACCTAAATCAGGACTCTTTCTTCCAACATATACAATGTAGTATTCTGTGATTTGAGGCTTCCAAAGATTGTGTCTTCCCCGGATAATCCACTGATTGGCAAGGGTAAAGGAAATGCCACTTTAAGCTGGAAGTTCGAGCTGCGTCCCGGAGAGGCATGGAATACTTCCATAATCGAGGTGGTTTTCGGTGTTTGGAAGTATCCTGGATTCCTCAAGAAAAAACTTCTGGTCATCAACAAAACCGGCGGACAAAAGATAAGAGAAAACTATGAGAAAAAGATAAGCTGTAACTTCGACATGTCTCTCCTGCAAGTGGAATTTACTCTACACGATTTGGGTAAAAGCGACGAAAACGAATATGGCGTTCAAGTTGAGTTTGGCCTGAGTCGAGCCCCCTTATCGGATAGTGTCAAGCTTCATCTTGAAGGTAATAAGTCCTCGACTGTCGCACACACTGAATCATGATCCATCATCTTCAAACATAAAAGAGAGAATAAAAAGTTCACACATATAATAGATAAATCTGTAATGTTTTACACCTTTAATCATCATCAAATTTGTCATGGGAACAAGTCAAAAGTTAGGGCTAAATTTAGGAAAAATTTAGTCATCGTTACTTTCATCTTGGCTTTGATAAAAAAAAAAAAAAAAACCCTTCAGCGCGATGTGTCTCGTTATTCAATAGGTGGACCCAATATCCCAGGACCTTTTTGACTCTGTGTCACCATGTTGAACCACTAGAGGGGGAAGGAAGTGCATAAATACAGGAAATGATGCAAAGGCACCCCAAAGTATTGCAATAGATCTAGTTTACACTCACTGACTATAGGCAACGCTTTATTTAGTACTTTGTTTGATCAAGGAAGACACAAATTAATCATAAGTAATCCGGACGGTTTTTGTATCTCTATCTATCAGATCCACCCAAAATCAACTCTCCACAACAAAGAAACATCACCGTGAAAAATGGGGATCCACTAATGATTAGATGCTATGCAAGTGGATTTCCCACACCAAACATATTATGGAAAAAACAGAGGAAAATTATTGGAAACCAAGCTCTTTATTTCAATTCTATAAAGAAAAGTGACAGTGGAGTTTACCTGTGTGAAGCTCATAACCAAGCAGGCAAAGACAACGCGGAAATCACTGTCAGAGTTGATGATTCAGACATTCTCGAGTTCCCAACAACGCAGAGAGGTAAAGTTGATTAATTTAGGTGAACCCACCTTCGAGGTGGTTTAATGGTAGAGAATGCATGTCTTCACACCTTGCTGATCTCAGGCAACTGAGAACTGATTTTTTTTCCATAAAATAAGGATGTGTAAAGGGGTAAGTATTTTTTTTATAAGTTGCGAAACATCTACCGATATAAGTTTCTCTAAAAAAAGCAACCTGACATAATTCACTCAGTGGAGTTGATTTTAAATGTGGCGTTCATCTTTTAACTATCTATAGATTACATCTCTCCTTTCTTTTCCAGTTCCTGAATCGCATCCAGGAGTATCAAAGGCTACTAGTCCTGTGTGGATCATCTGCTTAGTAACCATTTCTGGAGTACTTACTATACTCGTTTTGATAACACTCACAAAAATGCTGTGTCGCTCTCGAAGATGTTGCCAAACGGAGATACGTTATAAGAAGAAAATTGGCTTAAAAGGATCCTATGAACCTTTTAGTCCTATCACTGAGCTGTAGCCAGAGCTAGGCTCTTACTTAATGTAGACTACTGTATCTCTAAGAAAAATAAAACAGACATATACTGTAGACATGTAGATATATACATATATATACAGGCCATGTTTTACTCATCTGATTTAGAATGTCTCCGTGTACTGACTAAGAAATAGCCATTCGTTAAAAGTTAAAATACACCTGTAGAAGAATTTGAAAAGTATGAATAAGCAGAGATAGCTGCACATAATTGTATAAGAAGCCAAATTTGACTGTTTTGAATTTTTGTGCTCTCTTACAGAAGTGTTGTTATCTGGAGCCAATGAACACTAAATATGATGAAATATCGAGTTTTTTCCCTTCAATTTTTGAAGAAACCACAGAGGCGGTTGTCTTACTGTTTCCAAATTTCTAGATCACCACCCAAAAGCTCGTTGGTAGGTCAGAAAGTCTGAAATCTTGGAATTTTGAAATTGAAACATGTAAATGAAGTCAGGAGAGAGGTAGTTCCAAATTTAAACGTTCTCCATTCGGTTCTTGTGTTTCTACGTTTCTATTCATACATTCCTTACATTACTGAGAGCTATTTCGAGAGACAGTGAAATTCAATTTACAATGACCCGCCAAAACGTTCGAAGTTTTTCCACTTTAGAATATAACAGTTATTCAAACTTTCATTCATTTAGTTAATTTTTTTGTTCAGTTTTTGTTAAAAACTTCATAACTCAAGGGCTGAGAAATGGTATGGCCTTCCATTAATAAATTCAGACACTTTCAACATGAGCCTCGGGCTTACAAGCGAGATCACACAAGCTCTACCCTTGTTATTGCCGTTATGTGCATTTACTGAGCGTTAAGAGGTGGCTGAGAAATTGTGGTGCTATTGCAACCTCACTCTAAACTGAAAACACGAGGATATGTACTGAAGACGGTAAAAAGTATCGTGAAAAAAGCAAGCGCTTATTTCGGCTCCTTCAGTTCTAGATCGACAAAGACATGCCCTAGCGCTGATTCCATGTTGACAGTTTTTAGAGTATACAACGCTCCTTCTCGAATTTCAAGGTTATCGCTTTTCCCGCTCGGATAGAATTACTTTCCTTTTTTCCTAGAAAAAAAAAAAAGCCGTATTGTTTGTAGCCAAAAATAGATCTCGAGTAAGGTACATCAATATGACGCAGCGCCACGCTCGACATGTTTTCCACGGGATTACTCTCAACGTAGCCGGTGGACATGAACTTTCTCTTATGCAGTTTGGTTTGTATTTTGACACTGATTCAAGGTTAGTTCACTGTTAATGCTCAAAACATACATTTTCCAGATGTTTTGCTTTCGAGATGATGAAAAAACTCGCCATTTCTAAGTATTTATTGAACTAGAAACTGGAAACCGAAAGTAATCATTTTGTAATGCGCATTATGTGTAATATCTTACGCCAAAGCAATGTTTCATCTTTCAGTAAACCATATATTTTTATGTGAAGTGCACTTTAGAGGATCAGATATCGTTTATGCAAGAGTTATGAAGGAAACAGTAATTAGGTCTCACTGTGTGAAATTACTGGGATTTTCAATGAACGAAGTCATGCATACATTTACGGCAATTAGTATGCCTCTCTAGGGACCAGTCATTAGGGAGTTTAGCAACGACGACGGCGACGGCAACGAAAACGTCGTGTCGAAATATAACTTTTGGATTTTGTAACTCTTTCGAGGTTATTCCGATGTGTCTCACTTGGAAAATGCTGGCGAACTATTCAGGGACTATATCATTGCGAACGGCGTTAAAGTAAGGTGAAAGATAGAAAAATTAACCGTCATGCGCTCACGTTCTCGAGAAAACCTAAAGTTTGGTTATTTCACGTTGTTGTTTTGCCGAGAACGGCAAAGAAATGTACCAAAATGTTAAACGCACGTGCAGGGCGATTGTTTTTGTTCATTAAGCCTAATGTTTTCTGCCGTTCTCGTTACCGTCGCCGTCGTCGTTACTAAAGCTCCCTATTATATATCGGCAAGGGAGGAGGGGGGGGGGTGTAAAGGGTTTCGGAAGGGATGAAATGGTTTTCAGGGGGAACGGAGTTGGAATCAATCGTCGTAAATAGAGTACAAAGCGTGGGGGAGGGGGGGGGCTATAGAAAACCGACTGCCAATCATGAACTGTTACAGAGCCTTGGAGGGGATCAGAATTTATCGTGACACAACCATGACTCCTCGAGCCCCCTCCCTTCCTAAGGGATAAATAAGACCAGTTCCTAACTGTCAATCAGCTTCTTGATTTTCTCGGAAACAAAACAAAAGACAGATCGCAGAGTCAGTCCAGATCAATAAGGTTCAACAAGATCAACTGATAAACACGAAGAGCGAGTGGAATTTCAGGATCCCTAGGGCTGTTGTCACACAATCGTGAATAAGGCTAGGAAACATTTCATCATGTGACTATTGCACAGTGAAACTGAGTTCAAGTCTGTTGTAATTAATTTATTTAATTTTCTATCTATTGTTATCATTGTTATTTGTGTTGTTAGTGTAGTTATTGTGGAATATTGATTTTATTGTTATTGGTGTTTTTTTTTGTCAGTTTATTTTTTTGTTTGTTTTTGTTTTGTTTTGTTTTTGTTTTTGTTTTTTTTTGTTTGTTTGTTTTTGTTTTGTTTTTTGTAAGTTTTTAAGTTTGTTTTTCTTTGTTTTTCTACTTTGGTGTTTTTGTTTTATCAGTTTTACTTTAGCGTCGTTGTTGTGCAACTAGATACCAGGTTATTGCTTGTGCAACGTTATATGCTCGTGCAACGTTATATGACGTGGTCTGAGATTTTAAATTTCTAACGAAACAAAGAAACGAAACGAAACATCGCATACAACTGAAGAGGTCTGTGGACGAAACTAGTTTTGTAGTAAGCGTGTTTTAAAGACTGATGAAACTTATTGATATATCAGTAATGACAAAGGTTTTTCTTGAAACCATTTGTGAATGAAGATGGCCAACTGTTTGTTATAGTTTTCCTCATTTCATCGTTCTTGTTACCGACATTGATTTCCGTTTTCGCAGAACTACTCACGTTAGGAAGAAACTCTGCACACGCTGGTTCTACAGACTTGGACTGTAGACTTTCGGTTAACTTGACTTAATTCTTCACAATCCAACATTACACGTTTAGTTCTGCGATCTATCTCAATCCCATCTGCCAAGAGTTACAAAAATGTTACGTTTTATTAGCTACGGATATACACACCCAGAGTAAGTCCGGGGTGGTAAGATAATTTAAGCTAACTTGACAAAGTTCCAGTTTTTTTTACACATTCTTCAATGATTCGTGACCACTAATTTCCTGTTACATCGGTTTGTTTGACAATCATAGTGTTAATCTATGCCTGCGGTTTTACTAGCGACTATTTGATTAAATACATTATTGTTTGTGAAGGCTCTATTACACAATGCTGGTTAATACTTCCTTTGACATTCCACAAATCAGCGTTAGCGACACGAAATAATTGTTTACTCGATCAACTATTAAATATACCGAAACAAGAAAACTTTATTCTGAGCACGTGCAAACTTTCCACGACATCCGTAAAAATAAAAATAATTATCACGTGCTATGAATTGTATTATCAAACAACAAACATATGAAATACATATATATGAACTGCGGTTATGAAACGTATATGAGCACGATACTTCGCAGTAAAGCACTATTTAAGCAATAGTGAAAATCAGACCTGAAAAAAATTCAGGCCTGTACGGGATTCGAACCACTGACCTCTGCGATACTAGTGCAGCGCTCTACCAATTGAGCTAACAAGCCAACTGGGAGCAGGCCATCAAATTAATTCGACATAAACCCGTAGATGATAAATCAAACAACAAACATATGAAATACATATATATGAACTGCGGTTATGAAACGTATATGTGCACGATCCTTCGCAGTAAAGCACTATTTAAGCAATAGTGAAAATCAGACCTGAAAAAAATTCAGGCCTGTACGGGATTCGAACCACTGACCTCTGCGATACTAGTGCAGCGCTCTACCAATTGAATTGCTTAAATAGTGCTTTACTGCGAAGGATCGTGCACATATACGTTTCATAACCGCAGTTCATATATATGTATTTCATATGTTTGTTGTTTGATTTATCATCTACGGGTTTATGTCGAATTAATTTGATGGCCTGCTCCCAGTTGGCTTGTTAGCTCAATTGGTAGAGCGCTGCACTAGTATCGCAGAGGTCAATGGTTCGAATCCCGTACAGGCCTGAATTTTTTTCTGGTCTGATTTTCACTATTGCTTAAATTGTGCTTTACTGCGAAGGATCGTGCACATATTCGAATTGTATTATGGTCAAATTAAAGCGGGAGTTCAGAATAGCCGCTTTGCGTGTAAACGTACAGCTATCTGTTCCCTTCGCAGTGGATATTTGTTCAAATTCCTCCAGAAACCAGAATACTAAGTGAAAAGCGTTTTCGATTGATGTAGATCGTTGACATTTGAATGACTGATAGAAGAGGTGGTGAACTGTTTGTATATTTTAAAGAGCAAGAGTGTTACACCAATACACCGTGGACTGAATGAGATCAAATTTTAACGTAAGAAAATATCAATGAGTAGTTTTAAAATCAGTCCTTTTGTATTCGAATTTTTCAGCTACACTGGCAACTTCAGGAGATGTCTGCCCTAATTCTACAGAATGGGATACAGTTAAAGTCAATTCTGGAGTGGACGCAAGCCTCTTTTTTAACAGATCAAAGAACGAGAATGATAAAGACTTCCGAGTCTATCGTGCTGAGAAAGATACTTTCCAATTTGCCCACATGACAAAAAATCAATCAAATGGCATTTGTTCTGGCCCATTGAAGGATAAATGTGATAAGCGGAAGATAGAGTTTCGGGGGGGTAACCAAACTCATTTGTTGCTAGTGAAGATTTTCAAAGCCAATGTCAATGATAGTGGATGTTACGCAGTCGTGGTTCATTTTAAAAGTTTCAGTTTTAAAGATGATGAGGGAGACTGGAGATACTTAAAAGTGATAAAAGTAAAAGTAGAAGGTAAGGAATGCATCTCACGACTGTGTCATTCAAATTATCAAAGTATACATTTATTTCCCGCTACTGTGGCCCATCTGAGTAAGTACCGTTAATACCGCTAGTGTCGTTTTTTGCAGATCTTTCGACTTTGAAACAGGTATAAGGAGTTGAGCGCCTCAATGGGTCAACCATTGGCCGTAAAACGGCACAATTTGATATAATTAACAATTATTCCACGAGCGAGCGTTGGATATGAGATGATAGATAGCCAACGAGGCGTGTAGTGCCAAGTTGGCTATAATCATCTCATATCCAACAAGCGCGAGTGGAATAATTGTTTTATTAAAAAAACGCCCTCAAGATATTAGAGAAATCTTCTCGACTTTATTTTGTAAGAATAAACTGGATGTTACAATGTACAGATATTAGATTATGGTATATTGGCTCATATACCAGATCATACTATAATAGCTAAGCCAATAAAAAGTCTTGAATTGCATTATCCAATTATCCAGTTTTTAATAATTAACAATTACTCCACGAGCGCGCGTTGGATATGAGATGATAGATAGCCAACGAGGCGTGTAGTGCCAAGTTGGCTATAATCATCTCATATCCAACAAGCGCAAGTAGAATAATTGTTTTATTAAAAACGTTAAATTAAATTATTAAATTTTATTAAATTTTTAGCTCCCTTTTAATTTTAAGCTGACACGTACGCTTACCATATTTGTAGATTATGGTATATTGGGTGATATACCATGATGCCTAAGCCAATAAAAAGTCTTGAATTGCATTATCCAATGATCTAGTTTTTAATAATATTATTTATCTTTTTAGATAACTCTACAGAAACTAAGACAAGTCCTATCCCTCAGTGGACTCAGGTCTACAGCACCAGCAGTAGCTCAGGTAAGCGTTACAGGGGGAGTAAGTCGGTAATTAGAACATTTTGAGGCAGAAATTAAGTTCAGGATATGCATAAACAAAATCTCTTCTCAATCACTTCCCTCGCTCTTTTGCAGAAAACAAAAAACACTTACAATCCGTAAAAAATTCAACTTTTGCGCTGATCGACGAGCTGGAACTCAAACCCACTTGAATGCTTGTCTTGACAGTATTGAACCTAGCCTCATACCCTTGGATTTCGTATTTATAGAGATGCGATTATGTAAATATGCTTAGCGTTAGATTTTCACACAGCTCCAGTCGTAAGCAAAGGTCGTACAAATCATGCGATAATTTTGCCGTAAAGGGTTACGGAAGTGGCATTGGCCTAGGCTGCCCTGCATTTTTTATTCTGTTTATTTATCTATTTATTTCTATTTAAAGATTTACCGTAAGGTAGGTGTAGAAACAATAGGGCTCTAAGTCCCATAGTAGGTTTCTATACCCTGGGAACCCATCCATCCCACCCCAAATTGCTTTATGATTTAAGAAAGATATAGCGCAACAAAAAAAAAAACAGCCGGTATCCTTCAAACTCACTTGAATGCTTGTCTCGACAGTATTAAACTTCATACCCTTGGATTTCGTATTAGTAGAGATGCGGTTATGTTATTTAATATGCTTAGCGTTGGATTTTCATACAGCTCCAGTCGTAAGTAATGGACAAATCATGTGATAATTTTGCCGTAATGGATGACGGAAGTGGCACTGGCCTTGGTTGCCCTGCATTTTTTATGCTACACAATATCAGCCATGAATCAAGAAATCCTGCTTTACATCTTTTACTAATCTTCTGAACTGATACATGAAATACACAATTTGATATATTGTCATTGATTTTTTTCGATAACTCCACAGAAATCAGGCCAAGTCCAAGTCAGGCCTACAGCCCCAGCAGTAGCCCAGGTGAGCGTTGCCAGGGGGGAGTAGTCACCATTACCAGAGAGTATCTTGGAAGATTCACCTAAATATTAAAAAGAAAAATTGCTTTATGATTTAAAAAAGATATAGCGCAACAAAAAAAACAGCCGGTATCCTTCAAACTCAGTTGAAGGCTTGTCTCGACAGTATTGAACTTCATACCCTTGGATTTCGTATTAGTAGAGATGCGGTTATGTAATTTAATATTCTTAGCGTTGGATTTTCATACAGCTCCAGTCGTAAGTAATGGACAAATCATATGATGATTTTGCCGTAAGGGATGACTGAAGTGGCACTGGCCTTGGTTGCCCTGCATTTTTTATTCTACACAATATCTGCCATGAATTAAAAAATCCCGCTTTACATCTTTTACTAATCTTCTGAATTGATACATGAAATACACAATTTGATATATTGTCATTGATTTTTTACATAACTCCACAGAAACCAGGCTAAGTACAAGTCAGGTCCACAGCCCCAGCAGGAGCCCAGGTGAGCGCATCCTCGGAGACCCAGGGTCTGTGGGTCGATTTCAAGTTAGGGCATGAAGAGCCCCTGGGGACATTGTCTTACAAGACTAGTTCCAAACGGTCGCAGTCGTTCTGCCCTCTGATTGGTGCCAGAAAATCTTTGTGTTTTTCTGCCCAATCAGAGTGAAGTGTACTTTAGAGTCCTTTCGTGTGTTGTAACACGGACAAATACTAATAGCTCAGTTACTCGCTATGTTTGTTTGGGCCGTGCGACGGAGATTTGCTTGAGATGAAAAGTTTCAGTCTCAGCACACAATGTAAGAGAAATCGATCAGATTGTCCGCGAAAATCTTACCGGAAATTATACTGAATACTTTCGCAGGTATCACTAGAGGACGTGTTTTAAAGTTAGCGAAGTTTGTATACAACATGATGGTTGCAGTCATTGATATGTCGCTTTAAACGTTAAACGAGATTTGAGCTTAAATCTTTCTAGATTTTTTGCATAATTTGCTGTGACTGAAACTTTGCCAATCCCGTGAAGTTACTTCGTCGCATTTTTCTTTCAACTAAGGCGTCTACAACAGTAGAGGTAGCCCTAGTAAGGAGTTCTGTCCTAATCTTTTTCCCCTTTTCTTGCCTACCTTCTTCTTATTTATCAACCTCGCCTGCTAGCTCACTCACAACAGTAAATATCGTATCTTTTTATTATTATTTTCCAGGTCCTAGCAGTTCACCAGATGCTTCACAAAAAAATGGCCTTCCATGGTGGGGGATAGCAGTGATTGTAGTAGGGATTTTGATACTCGTAGGAGTTTTTGTTTCTTGTATTATCTATAAATCTCGCCGTGAAAGGGCTACTAACGGACAAATGCTGGCTCACGCTAAAGAAGGACCAGATAATGAGATCGAGAAAATACCTCTCAATGAAGAAGCACCTGATAACGAACAAATCGCTCGCATTTAAGAAGAACTTAATAACGACTAAATGGCTCTCACTGAAGCGCGCGCCAACTCAATCAGACAACTGAATGACCTGAAACACTAATGCAGAGAAAGATGCTGCTGTTTTCTTTCGTACTGCACTGTATTATTTTCAATGTCCTAGTAATGCCGTTACTCTTTGAGTAATTGAAGAAAAATTTTGTCCATCAAAAATTTATGGGGAAATATCACATTTCCTAACTGATTGAGCCATGGGAATAAAGATAGCCAGATAGGTTGTGATGTTGAGGTATAACCTACTTTTAGGAAATATACTTTCTCAAAATAATAAACGGCTTGTTAAAAGAGTGGGGCGCTTGTGAAAGTTCATTTAATTTACTTGCTTCGAAGGTAACTGCTTGCGCATTGGTAACCAAGGTAAAAGATGTTATTTTGCCTTGTCACGAGCGTAATAATCAGGTAGTTGCAGTCGTTGATATTTTCGAAACTATGAGAATCGTGTACACTTTTGATTCATCAAACCCGTTGCTTCTGAGTGTCATGGCCAAGGCATCATCAAACAAGTCACCCCACGGTCTGTGCATATTGCAATTGTTACACCATGCACTTCATTTGCAACTTGTGTTATTCTTTACCATTCCTAACCATCCTCACTACATATCGGTTTAGATTGCAAGGAACACTGTACTGAATACGTTTTCTCCACAACGCAAAAATGTGGAAAATAGCCATAAGGAAAATGTGTGCCAGATGAACAGTTCATCGTGCTCGACTCCTGGGTTTAGCGGTTTAAATGAAACCAAACCTTTTCTGTGAAATCACACAACTGTTTCCTGTGGTTCCTCTTTAGCTTTTTAACAATTTAAACTTCATTTCTATGACTCAGTATGAGTATAGATATTGGCAAAAATTGTAGTCGATTTGATTTCTTATCTCAAACCATTTGGACTTTCAAACAGTGTGTCGATTGTTTTACTAATCAAAACCTCACCGACGACTGACAAACGGCAGGGCACCTCATCTTTCTCTTTCGTACGTTTAAGGAGAAATGATTCTTCATTAGCGATTAGCTTCTGTCTTTATTGTTAATATGTAATTCTAACTAAGTGTATAGCTCAATTATAAAAACACGTTGATTTTGTAGGTTTTGTTCAAACACAGCAACTTATATGATTTATTTCGTGGACATTTACTTTCCTTCTTTCAAGTGAAAATTTACACCGAGCTGTAGGTTAAGCCTGAGTCTTTTCAAGGGAATTAAAAAATTGATGTAGCCCCTCATTTCCGATCATATCGTCACTGCTAAAGGGTGTTCTTTTCATTCCTGATCGCGTGACGCGATAGAACCACAGACATTCAAGAATT